AACAAGTCAGGCTTAGAAATATTTCTGCAGCTCTGTAAAGTGAAGGAGTACAGCAAATAAAACTGACATTGGTTCACACCCTCAATATCACTAAGAAATAGCATAACAAACAAAATTACATCATAGCAGATAAAATTCACCTAAGAAGCAGCCACCGTACGACACAAAACTTTTAATTTCTTGTCATTAAATATGTTTTTCAGATTCACTTAGCAATACTGTCTTGAGAATCTGAAGAACTACTTTCTTTCATCAGAGATGGCAACTTTCAAGACTCAATAAAAAATACACACGTCCGATTGGAAAACCAAGAAATGCCCCTAAACAATGGAATAAAACACACAATTTAATACCAAATGTTTCCATAACATAACACAACACAACACAATTCTGCAACTTCTTGGATTCCCATCAAATTTCTATTGTCTTTTACTTTCTAAACTATCACTTTCTGTGCAGCGCCACATGAAACTTTTAATTCCCTAATTATAAATTATTAACTTCTTCTGTGGCGCGACAGCCCAAAGTCAAGCTTTGGCCTCCTCCCATGTGGGAGGTTCCTTTGTCTTTTGAAGCGTACATTTATGAGTAGTGAGTGACAAGCCCACTGCCTCTGCACAATTTCTACTCAATCCTGATTTGTCTGCTAGAGCCATCTAGTAGTGAATCAGGAGAGACTTGGGTGAGAAATGGCCGCTGAATATAAATTTTGAACCGTCACTAAGAAAAATCACAGCGGATCAGCACAATTAATTTTCAATGTTTCTGTAAGCTGATGCTTCGGTATGTTGTCCTTTGTTTTACCTACCCAATACACGTGTCGTAAATTTTTGAAAATATTTTCTGTCAATGAATATACAATTTTTAATTGTTACTGAATACAAATTTTTCATTAAGGCATTTCGAAAGAGAGGAGAAAAACTAATCATACACCAGCCTTATTAAAAATCTGTATTTAATAACGATTAAAAATTCTATATTTAGAGAATGAACATACATGACATCATTAAATGGCACTCTCAGAATATGGCATACAACACAACAACCATTAAAGCTAATCACAATCCCAATATTCTCTAGCATTAAAAATTGACAAATACAGTGAGGATATTTGACGGCTATGTTACAGCATGGCATTCCTACTATTCACAATAACTGTATAGGTTCCAGTCTTTCTCTGTCCGCACATGTGGTAACAGTTACTCCGCAGAAACACCAGTGATGTTTACTTACCAACATTATAGAAAATGCTGAAAATATTTCCCACTGGCACTGATATATTGGCCCCGCCCTATCGCTTCTTTCTAAACATGTGAAACATTTCATTTCAAGATCAATGATTTCTTTGAGAGTTCTTCCACGTATTGATTAATTCAGTAACTTCTTTTTTTTAAATATTCCCCCCAAGATGAAATCACATGGATTAATGTTGGAATAATGACCCTGTGTATATTAATCTGCGTGATCACGTACCCATTCAAACATAACTAGGCCTTAGCTGAAAAGAAAAGTCAACTCAGTACCATGTTCTCTATTGAACTGACTTAATATACTGGTTAAGGAAATATCATATGGCTGCAAAGAGTGAAAAACTGTGACTTAATGAGGGCACAGTTCCCATATTTTTGTATCAGTTTTCACGGTCTCTTTCAATAATCCCATTTCTTTTGTAGCGCAGGCTTTCAAGTGAACATTCAAGCTAGTCTCTGATATCGTCCAACTCCTCTTCTGCCAACGCTTGATGCCGATATTTTGGCATCCATTATGCGCTAACATACCTACCAATGTTCTTAGTTCATGGACAAACCTGATCATCACGAATGTTTCTTCTGGAAGTTCCCAGCTTGACATGAGACTTGTACAAAAATTTCTGTTGCTCTAGTGAAAAATTATCCATATCGAACCAAAGGGAATTTTGTGAGATTTGAGATTCTCATGCTGGTAATGATGACATTACTGTTCTTAGGGGTTACAATGCTGTGCGGATTCGTAGGCAGATGCCAACATTTCTGACAAACATACTATTTACATCCTCAGTCATTAAGATAATGAACAGACTGTCTCCATCTTCAGGAATTAAGATAAAGAGTACACTTTTCCAAATGTTGGTATCTAGAGGTGGGTCCATGCAGCATCACAACACAGAAAAACATCAACAATCCAACCCCTACACAACACTAAGTCACTGCAAGGTGGTGTAATGCCATTTCCTCTTGTCGCTGCTGCTAACTCACGTTCTGTCACCACAGATGAAGAACTAGGAAAGGCAGGAACTAATGCAGAGACTGAAAACAGCAAGCTGTGGTATATCCCCCACTGTATTTGACTATTATAGTTTCGTATTTAACCATAACTTACGTATCATAGAGCACATATGTAAATTAAAACTGAAACTGACTTTACCACTAATAAACTGTTTCCCTAAGTTACCAGAGGCAACGGATTATAGTTTACAACTCACTTAGTGATATATAAAACAGCAATGCATATACTGCATAAATTACCGTTATTTCCTAATCATGTATCTCACAATACATTCCTTATACCCAGCTGTGGTGTATGTAACTGGACAATTAAAAATTGTTAGAATGATCAAAGGCCGATGAAATGAAAGGGGCACGTAGCAAGGAAAAGGAGCTGGGAAACGTATACAGAATCTTGGTTAGAAAACTCAAAGAAATGAGACCATGAGAACACATTAATGGACATCTGAGCTTCATAAAAGCTGGGAAACTTCTTTACTAGCCGAGTGATTATCAGCTTCTCCAGGACTGTCCTCCAGGGAGTATGAACATATAAAAAATTACAGTATGGATGACCTGATGTGGCACCAAGAAGGTGCTCCATTTCAATTAATTTTAGGGGCCTGAATGCCCAAGTGAAAATTAATTCCGATTCAATGTTGCTTTTTAGATAGAGCATAAAACACTTTACTGTAAACCTTAAGCATAATGGTAATTAATTTTCTAAATATAATTTTACTACAGTTTTTTTTACATTTGTACATTTCCTATTCTTCTAAACTTCTCCTCTAACCTCCCCCCCCCCCACCTCTACATTCAGGTGTAAGGCATTTGCTCACCTGTAGGTGAGATTACACATACCTGTCACGTTAGCAGTGCACTCATGAACGATACAAATTAATTACAAAATCTGCATAAAAATATCCTTTCCAACGTGCTTCTTGAAGGAATTAATACATATTAATCACTCCCAATACTGACACAAAGAGATGCTAGTGAAGAGTTCTCCTAATTCACTCAATGCATTACACTATTTGCTTCTATAAAATAAACAACAAAAAATACAATGCACAAACATTCTCATGTCAGCTGTACAAGCTAAGTGGCCAATGTAGTCGTTATCTGGAACAGTATCTATTCACTATAATAGAGGAAAATTTAATCAAAATGCGATGAGCAATTTTCTTGATAAATCAACTGTGAGGTAACAACTTTGATCTCATTATGAAGATTGGTGATCAAACATCAAAGTCCATTAACTAATTTAAAGTAGGTCTCACACACAAAGGCCCACTAAGAGCACAACCGTAAACAATGCAGCAGAACAGTGATTCAGTCTGAGAAAATTAACCGAATTCACACGTGAAAGACGCTACAAAATATTTTTTAGGGTCTCCTTCCAATGGTGTTAAGTGACTTGCCTGATGGATTCCAATGTGGAAATTATAACTTGAATTCAGGAGAATTGGAACTGTTTTCAGTGGCACAAGATTTTAATGAATATTCATTATTATACCATTTCAGCAATCTTTTCATAACCAAATATTTTATAAATGTGTATTTTCTGGATTCTTACAACTTTAACTGAGCACATCTTTCTCTGCAGTGGACATATGTCAAGGTACGGCTGAAAGAGCACTTAGACCCTGTGCAATGTCGTCCTTAAATTAAATGAAGAGAATGGGACTTACGCACGACAATGCCCGCATCCTTTGCAGTAAATTATAGAAATTATTTAATAAAATCACTGAAGAAGGTGCTGACATGCACGCACCATTTATTAATTCTACTGACATACAGTTCACTAACTTTCAAGTTTGCCAGCTCTCAGTAAAATCAAATTATTCTGCACAGAACAGCAAAACTCTAGTGACCAAAGAGTACAGATCATGTTCAAACCACCATTTAATTTACATTGTTTCAATTAGGTCCTCGTGGCAGGGTATGAAGGAGAATATCTTCTGGGATGTTACACCATATAGCCTTGTAAAAACCGCCTTAAGTTTCAGAGGTACTTACCACCTAAATCATCAGGGCAATGGCGGAGTCAGTAAGCACAGGTCACATAACAGAATGTGAAGGCAGATTTTCCTTGCCTGACTTTTTTTTAACTTACAAAACCAACGCTGAAGAGGATGTAAGACTTGAGGTTCTCACAGCGGTGAGTATGAAGATATCCGTCTTCTGGGTTATTGCGCTGTGTAGTCTGGTCGATGTTAACCAACGTTTCAGAGGTCATACTGCCTCCGTCATCAGGGCGATGAATCGCAGTATGACTTCTGAAACGTTGGTTAACATCGACCAGACTACACAGCGCAATAACCCAGAAGACGGATATCTTCATACTCACCGCTGTGAGAACCTCAAGTCTTACATCCTCTTCAGCGTTGGTTTTGTAAGTTAAAAAAAAGTCAGGCAAGGAAAATCTGCCTTCACATTCTGTTATGTGACCTGTGCTT